ACTAGTTAGCTTTGGTTAAATTGGAACGCAAGCACTTAGTGAATAAGATGCCTTTTTTTGCACTGAAATATGTTTTTCACTGTTTGCTGAATCGACAGCCCACAAATGTTGAATAATGTTGATTTAAGTGTACAGGCCTTTGTGAACCAGGGAAATGTTCATCTGATGCATAAAAAATCACTAGCATAGAAGTTCATTTCAGTTCACACTCTTTACTGAACATTAGTTCAGTCATGTACGCAAATGCACAGCAACACTGTGTCCACACTATGTTTTCTGTTTCAAAAGATACTTGTCAGCAAGCATCACTGCCATCTCCACTTCTCTTCTCTCCTGTCTTCACCTCTTCTGTGACAGTAAATTGAAGATGGCAGCGTCGTGGGCACACTAATAGGCTCTAGAGTTGAGTGCTGGGTAAGGTGCTGCCCCCCTGGCCGAACTGTTCCCATTGCCTTCTCTCCCAAAATCCGGTCTACTTGCTGCCATGCATGAATTGCCAGCCACAGGAAATTTTAAAAAAGAGGAGTCTAAATTAAGTGCCCTTTCATTCCAGCATTTTCATGGTTTGGCTAAAAACAGGGTGCAAGATGATTCACATTTTATAAGCCCTCTCTTGCGGCTGCCTGCGTCACCCTGGCGCTCGGACTCTATGGCTCATTCACACATCTCTCTCCCTTTCTCTCTCTGTCCTGGTCTTATACTTTGTCTTCTCTAGCACTCAGTGCTTACAGATATATATTTTTAATCACAGGTGACATGGCATGGTTAACGAAAGGCATGGGCAACATTACGCATTTCACAATTTTGAATAATATTAATCGACAAAAATGTATTAATTACTTTCTCGATATGTTATTGGACTTTTCGATGTTTGCAATGTGTCATTGAATAAAGCCTTGATGAATAAACAACTCTGGTTACACTGGTGTTGGTTTATCTTTTCCTGGAGAATATGCTGAATGAACAAGACAGTCCATAACACCCCTGTAGCAGACGTAGCCAGCCTAACGTTCATGCTTTTAGCAGAACACAAACTTAGTGGTTGGAAGAAAAAGAAATAGGAAGGGGATAGACATTTCTCTAAACAAGTCTGACAGCTACTACCATTCTGACCACTGTCCATTATCATTTCCGCACCATGGCTGCTGTTGGCCTGGCAACTGCTGCCAGAAAAAAACACAAGGCAGAGGAACTCATATGGGTGAAGTACACAGATGTGCTACTGGACAATGAGCTGCACTTCAAACTCAAAGCCTATATGTGTTGTGTAATGCTGCCCTCTGCTCTTCATGAGTAGTTTTGCAATGAGCAGTAAATAAAAATCATTAGTGTGGGTGAATTGGTGGTGAATGGTGTGTGAATGATGACTATATTTGCATGTTTCCTAATGTAAATTTGTATAAAAACGGCTTTATACTCTAATGTATACATTTATATTTATATCAACTTATATCCATAATTGTGCCAAAAAAAGAGTATCAACTCTCAATTCACAAAAATGTTCAAAGAACATTTTGCTAACATTCCCATTAAGTTATGAAAATGTTATTTTTGAATGTTATCTGAACAAATAATTCTAAACAAGGTTTTTTTTTTGTTAATTTTTTTTCTTGGTCATGTGACTGTAAAGGCAACATTACAGGGGTCCTATTATGCTCTTTTACAAAGTCTTGATTTTGTTTTGGGGGTGTACTAGAACAGGCTCTCATACTAGGTTGTTCGAAAAACACATTATTTTTCACATATTTTACATTATTACAACACCTCTCTCCCCAGTCTGGCATGAACGGCTCGAATAGTTCCTGTATCAAATGAAGGCCCGCCTTCTGAAATACGAAATGTGCTGTGATTGGTTAGCTGGGCCAGTGTGTGTTCTAGTGCAGCTCAACCAGGTCTCGTCCCATTCGTCGGTATTTGTGATATCACAAATCCTGGAAAATATGCATTGTAGTCCAAACGAGTCGTTCGTTGTAGTTTTTGAACAGTGATTTCTGTTAAATAACATATCTCCTTTTGAAGTGGACTTTGAGCTTTGTAACTTTGCAGATCTTTTTATACTCAAACAGCAACATTACAGACTAACTAAAGTTGACAAAGTGTAAACGCATAATAGGACCCCTTTAAGGGGAACGCCCCATTTTATTATCTTGCAAACATGGGAATGTTACTTTTGAATGTTCTCTAAACCATCTTAGATGAACGTCCAACTAAAATGTTTCAGAAAAAAGTTCTATAAACGATGTATAAATAACATATTGTGCTAATGTTTTGAGAATGTAATAAAGACAAGGTGACTTTGAATGAACGTTCTGTTAACGTTACTGGAAGAATGTTTATTCAGAACCTTGCCAGAACGTTAGACAAAGTTCTGAGAACGTTCCCTGGAAAAATATTGGATATGTTTTTGATGGGGGGCCTATGTCCTAGTACTGATTAAAGGCTACAAACACCCCTGTGGAATGCAAAGTGGAAACAAGTTGGTCACCAAGTGGTGTGAACATGGTGGTGCGATCATGCTACGTCAGAAATAAATTTAATGAGCAATATCGATGGACAAATTCAATTTTAAATAGGCCTACATATTTCTTACATGACTTACCAAACGCTTGTTCAGTACTTGAGTCATGAGTCACTGAACAGTGCATTGTTTCTTGAACCTGCACGCTAACAAACAAAACGATAGTCCGATTCACGAACAAATGATTGTCATGGGTCGGTTCTTTTAATCAAAACATTCAACTCGAGTTACCGATCTGAATCAGTCTGACGTCGAATCCTGAATCAACGCATGACTCAAGTACTGAACTTTCGTTCCATGGCACCATTACTTCAATATGCCATCAAGCAAAAATGTATGTATTTATTTATTTATTTAAAACCTTTTTTCTTTCGCCCAGAATGTCTACAATATTTAGTTAACAATATTAAGTTTATATTCAGAGACTCAAAATTAACTTCTAATAAACATCTATCATAACTTCATCCTGATCAGGCCAGTCTGTGTTTAGTTTCCAGAAAACATGCTATTTTGGACACAGTTTCCTTCTAATAGCAGCGGCATTACATATATGCTACGTTATCATGACCACGTAGCCTTTACCAAAGATGCTATATAACGGAAAATAAAAATCCACCACAAAGACATGGTAATGAATTACATTCCATAGTTACAACTGTACACAGACTGACTGAACAACTCTTCCAACCTCCATTCATGCCAAAGCAGGAGGAAGATCTGGGCAGTTGGCGAGAGGAAATGGTGTGGCTGCTCTGAGGTTTGGAGGAAGAATGGGAAGTATGCTGTTACTGTGGTGCTGGTCAGACAGCAGGCTAGGTTTCCACACCACAGCTGCCCTGACCACATCTGTCCTTTGCTCTCACTTAATCTTCTCAGCCATTTAAGCTATAAAATGCTTCCTCACTAAATACGGCTCCACCCAAGTCTTAAACTGTGTACATTAAAAGAACACCCCCTACTACACCCACATAACAGTGAATAAAATGGGCTTGCTCAGCTGTTAAAATTGTTGGAGCGGCCCAGCCAGCTTTTCATTCTCATGTTCTGATGTTGTTTGTGGTCATCGTTGACCCTTTATGAACAAGCAGGAGAAAAAAAGCAGTGATGAGAGGGAAAACGTTAATGAAAACTGGACTCAATGAGTAACAGGAGAAGAGCAAAATAAATACACAAAAATATGTTTTTAATTCAATATTTTTACTTTTCTAAAACTTTAACTCTTAAAAATAAAGGTTATTTATTGGCATTTGTGTAGAACCTTTAAATTCCATGGAATCTTTCTACTGCACAAAGGGTTCTTTATAGTGTAAAAAGGTTCTTTAGATTATTAAAATTCTTCACGTTAAAAAAAATTGGTTTCTTCTATGGCATCACTGGAAAAAAAAACTGTTGTGTTGGGTAATACGCAAATCAAGTCACAGTCTATGAAGAGATGACACACATTTACCTGCTGTTAGTTTTTCTAAACAGTTTAGCTGAAATAGCCACATTTTTACCTTGATATTCACCTTGATCTGTGTCCAAATATGGTTAATTAAAAATATAGCTATTTTATTATACATTTTGTAAACACTGTGATATTCATGAAATCATAAAAACTCAAGCAAAGTCTGCCATTATCCTAAATATTTCACCTGCCCTGTGTTCAATAAAGTCACACTAGCTCTGTGAGTGTTAAGTTTGTACGTAATTGGGCTAGGATTTTGTGTGTCACAACCATATGTTGGCTATGAAATGCAGTTTGGAATGCAATTTTGATAACACCAGGAGCTGCTCAACACCATTCGATTTTCTGACTGTAGTGAGAATTCACAGTGGATGAGCTCAAAAAATCAGTTTGCAGTTTCCAAAACATCCCTTTATACCAACTTTTATCACATCAATTTCTCACCGAAACATTTCTTAACCATTTTAGCCCCTCAGTCCATATTTCTATGTTTTACTGTTGATTATTGTAATGTCAATTCAAAATGATAATGTCTGGAAATTACAGGGAATGTTTTTCACACAAAACACGCTGTTATAGGAATAATTCAAACATTTTATTAGAGTATTTGTTTTTTGCTACATTGACGTAAAAAAAAGTTAATATAGGCCTATGCAATGTGTGCAAATATGTGGCATATATGCTGTGCTTAAATAAACTTATAATAATGATAACATGATATGAGTGTTGTTTAAATTTAAATAGGCCTACATCAAGTACATATTGTGAAAAATGAACAAATTAATGCATTTAATAATGTAATTTTAATATATAATATAGTTTCTGTAGATAAATTGTTATCTACAATTTTATCTATTATTATTTGTTTGTAGATAAATTATTGAATGATGCATTGTTGTGATTCATAACGTACTTGGTAGAACCACTTTTTTGACTTTTAATTTATAGACTTTTATTGACCAGCGGAAACGAGAGTTGGTCCTTCAACATAATAGAAACGGATGTATTCACGCTTTAGTTCCTACCGGAAGCGTATAAACATACAGTAGCGTCTGATTTTAAAAGTTGTATTCGCCTTCGAAGACAATTGATACGCTACTGCTGAATTAATTTTAAACAAATAAATGTGCTTCCATTGATTCAGTGTAACTTTGGATCACGAAAACCCTCCAAATTTGAAGGTTTTCAAGGTTTTATTTTCTTAAATTGTGGTGTTGGCAGTGGTGCGCTTCACATAATTATTATTTCCCCCGTTTTTGAAAGAGCTTTAACAAGTACAAAACTATTCCTGTTAATACACAATAACATTGCACATGCAAGAATCTGTGTCAGTCGGGTTGTAGTCTGCTGCTTCTGTCACAGAAAGTCGATATGGCTCAGGATTTCCTCCCGGGCATGGAGAGCTCCGCAATCTCTGTCTTAAAGAGAGCCGTGGAGCTCGACCACAGCTCACGCTTTCAGGAGGCTCTGGTGTGCTACCAGGAAGGGATCCAGCTCCTGTTGGATGTACTGAAAGGTATGATTAAAAACAGTGTGGAAATGGCAAACGTTTTCTTTTGCTGAATGGACTGAGATGGTATTCTTAATAAATAAGATCACTGTTTTTCTAGCTGTAAAAGATGATTCAAAGAAGGGCCACTACAGAGAGAAAATCAAGGGCTACATGGACCGAGCAGAACAGATCAAAGACCATGTGAACAAACTGAAAGAAGGTAGTCGGTTCAACAACAAAAAAAAGTGCTTTAAACCAGGGGTTTTCAAACTGTGCTCCAGGAACCTACAAAGGACTGTGGAAGAGTTTGGAGAAAAGCCTTTTTTTTTTAAATATATATATATATAATGTGATTAAAATAAATATTCACATTATTATATAATGATAATGTGCAGCTGCCTAATAAATTTTAGGGTTGATCATATTTGGGCGTCCGTGGCATCTACAAGATTGAAAACCCATGGCTTAAACGACTTTTACTCTTCACATTGGCTCAGTTTTCTCATTGTTGTCTCATCTGTCAGAGGGTAAATACCATGAGCAGATAAAGATAGCAGACAGTGCCACTGGTTTCAGCTATGAATCCCTCTTCAAACCCTATATTAGAGACGGACTGACTGAAGTCTGGGTGGAAGACCCTTATGTACGGCATGTCCATCAGGTAGAGACTACAGTGATGCTTCTGAATGTACTGTATAGAAAAGAGCAGTAATGTATCTCAGAATGACACATTACAAATGTTTTGTTTTGCCAGTTGTATAATTTCCTTCGTTTCTGTGAAATGCTGCTGAAATGCCAGTGTAAAGTAAAGACGATTCACCTTCTGACCTCGCAGGATGAGGTAAGATTTTCCAACTTCCACAAACCGTTTTAGATTTGCATTGACTAACACACAGACAGCTATGTATAATGTGTGTCATTTTGTTCATCAGAGGCTTCCATTAAAGTTGACCTTAATCTTGTGGTTTTCCAGGACAGCTCTGCTCAGCAAACCAGTGCCCTTGCAGAAATAAAGCAGTCGCTACGGAGTCAAAATGTCTGTCTGGACATTCAGTACTCATCTACTATTCATGACAGGGAGATCAGGTACATCTCAAATCATTCTCATTTGCTGTATATTACAGCAAACACACTGGGCGTTAATGTTACAACTTTGTTCTGTGTCTATAATCTATATAATTTTGTTTTCTCAGGTTTAATAATGGTTGGATTATTAAGATCGGCAGGGGACTTGATTATTTCAAAAAGCCAAAGGTACCACCTAAGTGAAACATAAACCTGTGAAATATTCAAAAAAGAACCGGTTATTTGTGCGTGTTTGCATAATGGATATGTAAAAGACTTTTTTTTCCCCCCTCTTTTTTTTAATGTGCAGCTGCCTAATAAATTTTAGGGTTGATCATATTTGGGGGTCCGTGGCATCTTCAAGATTGAAAACCCATGGCTTAAACGACTTACTCTTCACATTGGCTCAGTTTTCTCATTGTTGTCTCATCTGTCAGAGGGTAAATACCATGAGCAGATAAAGATAGCAGACAGTTCCACTGGTTTCAGCTATGAATCCCTCTTCAAACCCTATATTAGAGACGGACTGACTGAAGTCTGGGTGGAAGACCCTTATGTACGGCATGTCCATCAGGTAGAGACTACAGTGATGCTTCTGAATGTACTGTATAGAAAAGAGCAGTAATGTATCTCAGAATGACACATTACAAATGTTTTGTTTTGCCAGTTGTATAATTTCCTTCGTTTCTGTGAAATGCTGCTGAAATGCCAGTGTAAAGTAAAGACGATTCACCTTCTGACCTCGCAGGATGAGGTAAGATTTTCCAACTTCCACAAACCGTTTTAGATTTGCATTGACTAACACACAGACAGCTATGTATAATGTGTGTCATTTTGTTCATCAGAGGCTTCCATTAAAGTTGACCTTAATCTTGTGGTTTTCCAGGACAGCTCTGCTCAGCAAACCAGTGCCCTGGCAGAAATAAAGCAGTCGCTACGGAGTCAAAATGTCTGTCTGGACATTCAGTACTCATCTACTATTCATGACAGGGAGATCAGGTACATCTCAAATCATTCTCATTTACTGTATATTACAGCAAACACACTGGGCGTTAATGTTACAACTTTGTTCTGTGTCTATAATCTATATAATTTTGTTTTCTCAGGTTTAATAATGGTTGGATTATTAAGATTGGCAGGGGACTCGATTATTTCAAAAAACCCAAGGTACCACCTAAATGAAACAGTTATCATGTTTGCACATTCACATTTATTAAGCATTTATTAAAACAAACAAAAAAAAAACTACTATTTGTGCATGTTTGCATAATGGACGTTTAAGACTTTTTTTCTCTCTTTTTAAGGGCCGCTTCTCTGTAGGATACTGTGATTACGATTTTAGAGAGTGTCATGAGACTACTGTGGACGTGTTTCATACAAAACACACTAAGAAGACATAATCTTACTTCAAAAGCACTGTCTGGCATATCTATGGGACGTCATTTCAAATGCAATCCTCACATACCAACCCGGGCAACTGGAAATGTGCCTTTTGATCCCATTTACAACTTTTAAATAATGCAAAAGAACTGATTTTATTGCCTGTTTTAAAATGTTCTGATATGAATTACAAAGGAATATTCAGAGGTCTTCTCTATACCATTACTTCTATTCTGCTGTTTTCAAACAATTTGAGCGCTAGTAGGCTATATGATAAGGTGATTGATACTGATATGTATTTATTATATGTTTGCTTCTGTAATTAAGATAAAAACCGAAGTGCATTTGTAAATAAGGTAGTAGTCTGTAAAATGTTCGTCACTAGTAAGCGCCCTTTATAAAAACGTTTTGTAAAGGCGTGTTTTTACTGACAATGCTGATATAAAATATATATTCTGTGCATCAGCAGCGCCATCCCGTGGTCAGCGAGTGAAGCTCCACTCATCATGCAAAAGCGAATGATTTGCGTTTATATTACACCTTGTGTTCAGCGTCACGTATGGCTTGATAGGACGGTGTTTTGCTCCACAGGCTCAGTTAAAGAGCAAGTGAATGCCAGAGATCACCTCGCCTGCACTTTCTCAATGATTTACCTCAGAATGTGAGTATACGCGACTACATTATATTTATATTAAGTTTTAGGACAGTCATAATGTCAGTTGTCGTGTTAATTTTGATTTAAGATATTGTTATAGTGGTTACGGTAAGTTTTTGTTTTGTTTTCTAAATTAAAACTCCGAAATATGCGCATATTGTGACATGTACTGATTAAACGATAACCCACATAATGCGTATCTCTTTATATAAAGTCATATTTATATGGGCCAATGGATTTGGGACATTCATACTATAAAAGGCTTGCTGTTGGTGGAAGGACAAGGACTGTTGTTGACTGGTGGTGTTGATTTGAATAACTAAATAAAAAGCAGTCGGTGTTGTTGTCGTATTTGTTTGCTTGGACATGTTTGTCTGAGTTGCTTCTTTTGCCTGTCATATTAGAAACCATTTTTTACAATGAAACACGCACGAATTCCCCGCAGGAGGAGATTAAATCTATAATCGCCCTTAATCTCGATATGTGCTCCTCATCTCAGTTCATTAAAATATAGAGCGTTGTCTGTAAATAACACTATTCATCTCTCAAGGGAGCAGACTGGAGCGATGATGGTCAGGATGGTGAATCTCATGAAACATATCCCGGACATTAAGATGTTTTTGAATTGTGACACTTTTCATGAGAATTCAGCATGATTCCTCTGTAATACAAATTTGTTTTTGTTTGTTTTATTGTTGTTTTTAAATAATTTTACGTTGCATTTTTAGCAATTTAGATAATTTTATTGACTTTTTCTTGGGTAGGCCTAAGTGTTGTGCTTAATTTCCATAAAACACTGGCACAATGCTACTAGTCTTAACAGTGCTAAAATGTAATTTCCTATGATTTTGAAGTGAAATATATAACCATAAACATTCGACAGAGGTTTTGTAAGATTCACTGTGACGATGGTGATGATGATTTGACTATCTGACCACATGCTGTATGTATGTGTGAATGACTGTATATCATGGTTAATACTTTAAATGATATGGGAGGACAGCAGTCTCACTTTACTGCAGTTGATATTTTTCATTGAGTTTTTGTAGACATATAAAGTCATCATTTTACAGAACAAAAGACACGGTTTATTTAATGCACATTTTTAATGTGTGAGAACATGAATGAGTAGTGTATCATGCATACGGGGTAATCAACAATTATGAAAATCAACAAAAAAAAAACTTAAAAAGTAGCATAAATGTAACTTAACAAAAATATAAAACCAATAATTTGACCAGCAAAACTACAAAATATTTGTATAATTAATCAATTGTATAAGATTACTAAATTGAAAATACATGACAATTTGTCCTGACCTAACATTTATGAAAAAATCCCTAAAATCTACTTCTATGTAATAGTTAAATCTTAACTGAATGTATGCTAGTGTGGTTTTATTGTGTTTACTTGTTACCCAACAGCTAGAAAAACATGCTTATTTAGTAATTTTAATTGTAGGACTGATCAGGCAAACTAAACTTAACTAAAACTAAGTAAGTAAATAAAAACTTGAAATAAAATAAAGTATAAAAAACAAACTTACTGTATTTTATTTATACAGCTAAGGCAACATTTTTCATTTTCATTTAGTTCAACTTGATGTACTAAAAATAAAACTGAAATAAATTTAATAAAAACTATGTAGACATTTGAGAAAAAAACTAATAAAAATATAAAAACAACAAAATTATTAAAACAACTTCAATAAAAAAACAGAAAATGACAGAAATAAAAACAATTCAAAATATTGTTCAGCAATAACAATGAAATAACAATTCAGAATATTTCAAAGTATTCATAAATTCATTCATACACTGAGTTCACAAAAATTATATTAATTTAAGAGATCTAGGTGTTTGAATCCAAACATACAAAACCACTGCTAGAGGAAACAAGCATATATGTGTTTCGGTATCACTCAAAACCTACAGCCCTTATAACAACTAACATTCCCCTATTGCTTATGAATTATCATGACAAAAACAATAGTCTAAATATTACTGTTACACTGTACTTGTACAGATACATTGAAACACGTTCGCTAAGCTGTGTGCAATGTGCTTCAACTATGAAGATTGATAAAAATGTGTATATAACATAAGTGTAGAATATTTTTGCCACAGACCACAATGTTGATTAAGAGGACATTTAAAGGAAAATATATAAATCAAATCAGATTATGACATGAATGCAAGCAGGCCATAAATATCTGAAACAATTCAGCATACAATGTCAATATATTTTCTTGTCCAGCAATAATTGGAGGAAAGTGTCACTATAGCAGTAGTAAAATGTTCCATGGAAAAAACGGGTTTACATTAAAAGAGACATATGTGCAGATTACTTTTGCTTCCCTTCAATATGCATGTCTGAATATGAAAATGTAAATTGACAGATGGATTATATTGAAGGCCGAACGCATAATGTAGGCTGGCTGAAATTCACCCAGATGTCGAGCTGACTTTTGTCCAGTAGGAGGAAAGGAGAGGGATTTGTGGCCAACTCTAGATCCTGACACAGATTTATGCCTGTATCTGGGGCAAAGCTGCCCTGTGCTTTGCTGAGCGCCAGATACAAAACGTTCCATCCTCAGAGATAATGGGTAGTTTAATGAGAGAGTAACATTTTTAGGGTTAAAAAGTCAGTGAAGTGTAAGTTCATGTCTAGATGTACGTGTACAATGGACCCAGTGCTTTCTTTTGAGAGCCTTGTCTGTCATTTCTTTATCTCACCTTTTAAACATTTCAAATAGGCTGTAGCCTACTTTCACAGTTACTTATAGTAACACACAGGACAGGAGGGAGTTGAACGCTCCTGTCGTTTGTCTGCACAGAGGGAAAGGAAGCACATCATCTGCTCAACTCCACCATATCACCTAACCGTACAAATCTAAACATTCTCATGATCTCAGCATCACAGATTAGCACTCTGCTCGTTTATGTTTTTGTCATATATACGCAATACAGAGAAGTAGATCATGAGTCTGATTCAGATGCTGATGGAGTAGTTTAACAAGTGGCTCTTAACTGATTAGTCTTGATAATGGGTAGTTTAATGAGAGAGTAACATAGGGTTAAAAAGTCAATTAAGGAGATGTAAATGTATAGGTGTATGTCTACAATGGACCCAGTATACTTTCTTTTGACAGCCTTGTCTGTCATTTCTTTATCTCACCTTTTAAACATTTCAAATAGGCTGTAGCCTACTTTCACAGTTACTTATAGTAACACACAGGACAGGAGGGAGTTGAACGCTCCTGTCGTTTGTCTGCACAGAGGGAAAGGAAGCACATCATCTGCTCAACTCCACCATATCACCTAACCGTACAAATCTAAACATTCTCATGATCTCAGCATCACAGATTAGCACTCTGCTCGTTTATGTTTTTGTCATATATACGCAATACAGAGAAGTAGATCATGAGTCTGATTCAGATGCTGATGGAGTAGTTTAACAAGTGGCTCTTAACTGATTAGTCTTCCATGATACAGTCAAATATTAATAAAATGTAACTAACCACATGTGGTTAAGACAGCAAAATAAATAGACTTGTAATATTTTAAAAGACAGAAGAAAATGCTTTTCGTATCTTATTGTTGATGTCAAATTCATCTCTCACTTGGTAATATGGCAAATTCAAATGAATATTTTGCCCTATATTTGTAACATTTGTTACATGTATACTGCCGTTCAAAAGTTTGGGGTTGAAAAGTATTTTTGTTTTTGTTTTTTTGGAAAGAAAAAATGTTTTTGAAAAAAGCCACCCAAGGCTGCATTTATTTGATCAGAAACACAGTAAAACAGTAATATCATAAGATAATTTTACAATTGAAAAATTGTTGCTTATCATTTGCTGCTTATCATTTTTGTGGAATCCTTTTTTTTCAGAATTTTGTGATAAATAGAAAGTTCAAAAGAACAACATGTATTAAAAAAATTCTACTGTCACTTTTGGACAATTTAATGTGCTTTTGCTGAATAAAAGTATTCATTTCTTTCTAAAAAATCATACTGACCTCAGACTTTTGAATTGTAGTGTACGGTATATATGCAAAAATAGAACTGGTAATTTTTTTCATCCAGGTTAAGCGACCTTTGAATGGAATATGACGGTATTTACATGATTTGCATACAAAACTGAACTACTCTGACGTGTCAATGCAAATACATGACTGACGCAAATGACAGTTGTTCGGTTGTCTTAACAGTGATATTTTCAATAGTCTCTTTAACAAATCATTTACAAACACAAGAGGAATATAAATCAGATGTGATGCTCTCGCTACCTGCAGTTGGCCTGACTGGCTCTGTTCATGTTACATTTTTTTATCAAATAGCTTCCTTATGCTCTTACTATCAACATACACTTGCTCTTGCTGATAGAGTGCTGGATGGTGTGTTATATAGACTGATGCCTTCATCATCTCTGCATCCGGCCAGCCGCAGCACACTCTCTGTGCTCTAAAAGCTGTTTAGTGTTTAGTAAGGAGCTTAAGCGTGCAGGAAAAGCATGAGTTGAAAATGTAACAGAGTTTGCCAGTCAGTGTGTCCATCCATCAATGCAGCTCTTTGTCAGAGCCTGCTTTTCCTTTTCTTTTTCCTCTTCCTCGCTTTATTTTTCACCAGTTCCTCTCCTGATTTTGCTCTTTCTCTGGTCTGTCTTCCAGTTCCTCCATCTCTATGCATGTTTGTGATTGGGACAGAGCTCCCGTGGTTCATAGGATGTAAGGACATGTGCATCTTTTAAACGGAAGTACAGAAGCTAAATCACACAGAAAAGAGGAAAGAGAAGGATTTTTACCGACTAAGTGATGACATTTATCTTGCTTAATATTATTTGAAGTACTTATGTTTTGTTTTCCAGGGTAATTACAGTACATCATCATTCATAGCAATTTCATTATTTATATATAATAAATGAATATTCAATCAGTAATCATTAGTATTAATGTTTAAAGATTTTTGCTTTTGAAAGAAAATATTTGTATTCAACAAAGATGCATTAAATTGAGCAAAAGTGACATTGTCAAGACATTGTATAATGTTACGGAAGATTTCTATTTTAAATAAATGCTAATAATTATTTTGAACTTTTTATTCATCAAAGTATCCTTAAAAAATGTGTCACTGTTTTACTAAAACATCTACAATAAAGCAGCACAACTGTTTCAACGTTGATAATATGAAAAGTTTCTTGACCAGCAAATCAGCATGATTTCTGAAGGATCGTGTGACGCTAAAGACTGGAGTAATGATACCATTTACCATTACAGGAAAAAATTGCATTTTAAATATATATTAAATTAGACAACAGTTATTTGAAAATGTAATAATATTTCACAATATTGCAGTTTTACTGTATTCCTGATCAAAATGAATACAATTTTGGTGAGCATTTTTTTAACGGTATTGAATGTAACTGTTACTTGTCTGTTAGTTTTCCTTTGACCTAGTTTTCCTGAGTTGTCTTAATTATGTCATTCTGTTCACCTGGGTTCCATTAATTAAGTCATTAGTTCCTCACTTGCTTTTGTATTTATACTCCCTGCTTTGTTCAGTTCCTTGCCGGTTATTGTTTGTGTCACATTGGTTCTAGTGATTCTTCTGTGTTCCTTGTGGATTTATTATTAAAAGACTGTTGTGGATTATTTATTCGTCGTCATGCACTCATTTATAAGCACCTAGCGTGACAGTAAACAAGGTTCGTTTTTGGTCCATTGTTTTTCTGCCACTGTGTGTATTTGTAATGGCATTATATCAGGCCTTTTTAGTTGGGCTGTGCCAGAAGTTTCTGATAAATCTGTAGTTGTAGGATTAGTGCTGAGTGAAATCTTACAGTGATTTCTATGCAGTGTCATCCAGCCCAAAGATAATCTTCATATTCTTTGTGATTTGTGTCTGATGCTACTGTAGGTATCGGCTTTGTTAACATTGCAGTGACTGCTTACACTAAGGAAAAAGGCACGTTGACAAGCTGTTACATGCTGATTATGTATCCATTTCTTATATGCACTGCATAGTCTGCATAATGTTTTTTTCCCCCAAAGGAATACATAAGAATTCGGTCTTGAGTACTCAAACATGAAGACATATTTTATTTAGTTTAACAATAGTTTGCATACTGTTGGATAGTTTGCATATTGGAGATTCTTCTGTGTAAATTAGGCAAGCAAACACATTAGAGCAGCAACTGTCAAAAAAGGTATGGACTGGATGGACTTTGCATGTATTTTTTCTGTTGCATATCTGCGTTATCAAGGCATGGTCAGCGATAAGAAATGTTTGTTGTTATAATAAATGATATGGACACCCATAGTGTTGAAATAAGTGTGACGCACATTGTTCAAAATAAGAATACAGTCTCACATATTTCACTTAAAGTCCATGTGAACAAGACAACTGGTTCCTGGAGGAAGTCACAAACTCAGTTTGAAAATGAGGAGAGTACTACTATAATAATAATCTAGCTTGAATGCCAATGGAAGCACACATGCCTACGGTACTGACCCCTGACTTAAAGGCACAATATGTACGATTTTTTAATTAAAATATCCAAAAACCACTAGAACAGTGTTCTATATTTTGCTGACTTGTGTACTTACATTATCCCAAATGTTTCGAAGAATGTTTAAATCCAGAGAAATAAGCAATTTTAACTAGTGACACGGACCGTGTCCATAGTGTCATTGTGTCGCCTGCCTGTGGGGATGAAGACCACAACTCCCATGATTCCACACTCAGTCACGGGGTCATCAAACTACGCCTTTGTCTATTTGTTTATTTTGAATACGCGCCCAAATACGGGCCAAAATTACATATTGTGCCTTTAAAGCAGTCTGCTTTTAATATGCCCTATGTGATTCATACAGCACATTACAGATTTAATGAAAGATAAATGCTGCTGATGTGTATTCACTTACATATACTTCCATTGAAAAGTCTGGGTCTTTAGGATTTTTTTTAAACGTGTTCTTATGCTCAAGGCTGCATTTATTTGATCCAAAATACAGTAAAACAGCAATGCTGTGAAATATTATTACAATTACAAGTAAATATTTTCTATTTTAATATGTTTTAAAAAGTATTTAATTCCTGTGATGGCAGCCATTACTCCAGGCTTACTTTTTTTTTTGTGGAAACTGATATATTTTATTTCAGGATTCTTTGATGAATCGAATGTTCAAAAGAAATCTTTTGTAACGTTATAAATGTCTTTACTGTCACTTTTGCTCAAGTCAATGCATCCTTGTTGAATTAAAGTATTACTTTCTTAACGTTTTAAGTATGTAACATACACAATTGTCGGTAGTGTAGATGAAAATACAAGTGTCTGATCACATGGAAAATGTGACTGCAGATGAAACCTTTGGTCTCTGTTGGGTTGATAAAAGTCTTCTGTTATCAGATACAGAATTTAGGCACGTTGCCACACCAGAGTTATGACATTCCTCTAATATTTTATGTGTCAATAAATTACTTGTCTGCTGCTCTCCTTTGTAGAACAACTACCTTACTCTATTGTGAATTTAAAGACAACAATTAACAGTTAATAGTTAGTAAACTATAATTTGCTATTGTCTTACTAAACTAGACTAGTTCCTTTAATAATTCCACTGACGTTTTCCAAACCCCGCCTGTATTTCTTTTTTACTCCTCGTTCTATCTCATCTGATTTCTGTGTAACTGTCCTCATTAACAGCTGTACCGGTGAAGATGAATGTTCTGGAGGCTTCAGGAGACCCAGAGGGAGAAGGCAGTGACTACTTAACAGGTCAGAAATCTTTCAGTAAGTCTCAATGCTGTCATCAGAAAGGACGTTTATAAAAAGGAAAAAAATCAGTAATTTATTGTGCTAGATATTTGTCTCTTTTAATCCACTGTCAGTTAATTATAATATATGAAATACACAATCTAAAGGTATGAAATGTTTGATGTTTAGGAAGGAAGAAGTCTAGGTTAAAGTCTTTTAAGTCACGCCTGTTTGGGAAGATAAGGAGGAAAGAAGATGATGGTGGTATGAAGCAGAGTCAGTCTGAAAGTGACATCTCATGGAGTGTGGAAGACTCAGAGTAAGTGTTCAAAGTGTCAACATGGTTTGATTTAAGAAAAGCTAAACTCAAATGTTATCATGGACAAATTAAAAATGTACAAAGTTTGATCATAAAGTAAAAAAAAATCAATGAAGCCCTTGTGAAAAAGTAATGTGCTTCATTGCATTGAATGTGTACTTCAAATCTTAAAAGTATATTTAAAAAACTCTACTTGCAGATAATCTTAATTAAGTAAAATGGCACTTAAGTGTACTTAAAGAGAGTAAACTTTCATGCTTATTAACACACTTAAATAGACTTTTGAAAAGTACTTAAGTTTGCAATAATATAAAATTAAATGTTTTGCTTTAAGGTATATTTTAAATTACTGTTTTAATATTATTTTGACATGCTTAAATGATTTATTTTAATGTGTTGACTAACATACTAAAGCACATGTTAAAGTACTTGATTATAATTATAACTGAAGTGTGTTATTAGAATATTAGATTCAAATTTAATATATTTGAAATAAACTTCACCATTACAAATGTGTACAAATAAAATGTACTTAAGTTCTAAATAAGTGGGCCAAAAAGCACTCATATTCAGCTAAACACATTTAATATAAATTTAAACTATATTTTATTTCCATAACAAATGTTCTTTTTTTGTTCCAAAAGCATGCTGGGGTCCCGGGCATTTTCACATGACAGCATTTTTCAGGCAGAGCACAGTCATTCAGACCCTGAACCAGTAAGAATTCTGTCTCAAGAGAGCATTCATGGCAAAGTTCGAGCTCTGCAGGTGACTATGACAAACCACACACACAAAACACTAAACACGCTTATTATAGCTAAAATATCTGACTTTATAAACACTTATCAGTGTGATTGACGGAAATGTTTCAAATAGTTTTAAGATGATTTTTTCGGTTGATCAGATGAAACTCCAGCAGCAGAAGCTGAATTTAGGTCCTCCCCCCCTTCTGTTGCCCATTAAACGGCGTGAAGACTTAGGTGGAAGTTCAGAAGATGATGGCCTTCCTCGTAGCCCCTCTGAAGTATCCCGCGGTGAAGGACTATACATGAGCATATCGGACAAGGTGCTTCAACTATAATACAGCAGCATTCCAGTATCTTTGTTGTGACACAGTGAATGTTAGTTTATTGTCACCAATATGTGTATGTATTGGTTATAAATGCATGTTTTCTGCATAGCTTTGGCCTTTCAGACTATCATTAATCAAACATCTGCATGAGTTTGCGTGGCTCATTTTGTGTCTCCATTACTGCTGGAGATACCCCAGCTTAAATACAGGTGCATCTCAATAAATTAGAATGTCGTGGAAAAGTTCATTTATTTCAGTAATTCAACTCAAATTGTGAAACTCGTGTATTAAATAAATTCAATGCACACAGACTGAAGTAGTTTAAGTCTTTGGTTCTTTTAATTGTGATGATTTTGGCTCACATTTAACAAAAACCCACGAACCAAAGACTTAAACTACTTCAGTCTGTGTGCACTGAATTTATTTAATACACGAGTTTCACAATTTGAGTTGAATTACTGAAATAAATGAACTTTTCCACGACATTCTAATTTATTGAGATGCACCTGTATGATGTAAACCTCATTGTTATTATGTTTTCAGTTTTCTGTCCCTCCAAAGAACCATAGCACCTTGAGCTTAGCTGGAACAGGAAGTGAGGAGGAAGAAAATGTAGCTTGCTGTCATTTCACTGATGTGTTGACATTATACCTGTCATTCATACATCTGATTCATGGCTTAAATTTGAATGGTTTATTTGGTCTAAAATATTGTCTAATGTCCCTTTTAAATGTGTGCTCCCCTTTCCTTCCAGGCCTCTGGCTCAGTGGATTTTAGCACTCCCCCACAGTTCACTTCCCTCCTGGACAACTCTGCTGCCCGTCACCGTATGTCCCTCAAACCTAAGAACCAAAGAGCCAGTGCCAAGAACAAGAGGGCGACCACTTCGGTGAGCCTTTTTAATGGACCCTTTTAAACCTATAATCCATTGGTATCCATTAGCATCACCTTGGTTCCCTCTACAAAAAGCCAATCTGATTTTTTCCATTTAATTTTAGAAAGTAAGTTCTGTGACCAACAAACGTTTGTGATTCTTACAAGTTTTGTTAATCAAAAATGTGTAATTCATCAGCCTTTATGAAGTTTAAAGCCTAAATACAACTGCCAGAATTAAAATGCTAAAGTTAGGCTATAAACAAACTACATTATGCACAACCTCAATGTCAACATGTTTAATCTTCTGACAACTCTTTCAGTCTTTATTTTAAATCTACAAGTTGGAACGCTTGAAATAGAATAGTTAGAAAAGTAAACACAACAATGCTGTAAAAGTGGACTAGATAGTAGATACGTTTACCTGCTTGGCGTGATGTTTAATGTTCTCAACAAACTCTGTAGTCCCATTTAGCCACTTGTTATCAACTTTATTTTTCAAGACACGTAAATACTTAAAAAAAAAAAACATGAGTGGGGTGTTACTGACGTATTTTAATGTTGTAGAATAAAATGTGAAAATATCACGAACTTCATAGACAATACTTCATAGTCAATCATAGACCTTATTTCAGGCATTTAGCCAAAAAAAAAACATTGATTTGAGGTCCAGAAGTTAAAAAATGCTCATTTCTGGGTTTTAAGACTTTTTCTTGAAGCACTTTATTGCTTTTGGAAAAACAGAACTTTTAAATATTCTTTTCCATATAACAGTTCATATTTAATAGATTTTCTATATTTGTACATTGCACTTCCTGTGTAGGCTGGAAGCAGAGCACGAGCTGAGAGTTTAAACAATCTGGACCAATCACTGACTACTACGGAGGAAGAGACTCTCGTAAAAGAGATACCTCGCGCTCGCTCGTATTCCTCACAGGTCTTACGGGGGGAGAGGCTTACGACTTCACAAATCAATAGTCCAGTTCTAGTGTCACCTTTAATGTCTCTGCATACTGCTGGAGATAGTAGAAAAGTTTCTGCTGAACCTGAGCTTGAGAGAAACATCCTGTCCACATCACCTCCAAGCCCTAGCCTACGGGAAACGACTCCAGCTGTGTCACCAGTTGCCAAACTGCCAATCCCAGTGGTGCCAATTGACAAAAAGGGAAAAGCAGAAGTGAGTGAGATGCCCAGTATCTCCAAACTACTCAAGAACAGCCAAAGTACCATTGCGTCAACTGTAAGCCCAACTGTAAGACCAAGTGTAACTACCACACCAGAATTGAGTCCTGTGAAGGATGAGAAATCTAATGATGTGCTAATAGAAACCAAGACTGACAAATACAGTGTTCAGAATGCAGTAAATATCGAAAATCGCCCAGCCTCTGCTTTTGCTCCAACCAATGTGATTTGTGGAATAAATCTGAGACCATCATCTTTGAGGAGAAATATACCTTCCACAGATGAAAAACAAAAAAAAGAGTCTGGGACTCTTCAGCCAGTTAGCACAGCGTTGGCTATTAGTCATGAAGATCACACTCAAACAGAATCCATAAAACGCCAGAGAACTGTGTCTGGATCATTCCACTTCAGTGTCTCCTCAGACAAGAATCAAGAGCGGCCAAGGACTGCAAGCTTCACTGGAGTGGTTGGACAAGCTGGACTAAAAAAAGAGCCTCCATCTCCTGTCAAACCTCCTTTAAATTTCAAGATAGAGCGGCAAGTAAGTTCACAAGTTGAGAAAATGATAAAAGACACATGTCCTAACATGCCACCAACTTCAAAGAAGGAAGACAAAACGGACACTTCTCCAGTGATGCCAACAAAGTTCACAGATCTACCAAAAAGTCGCCCTCGGGCCTTGGATGTGGAGGAGAGTCAGGACAACGAGAAGCAGGAGATTGGGTTAGAGGCTACTGAAGAAGGAGTACAGGAGGTGGAGGTGGCAGAAGAGGCACGTGAGGATGTGATGGAAGACGTGACTGTGGGAAAAGAGAGAGAGGCTACAAATGCATTTGGAGTGAAGCTTCGCTCTACCTCTCTTTCACTAAAATTTCGCTTGGACAAAGCTCAATCAGAAGACAAAGTAAAATGCCACAGTGTTGAAGTCAGTGCACCGATTTCACCTTCGGCCTCACAGTCTGATTCAACCAGCTATGTGGAACCTGAAGACCAGTGCATTGGCTTGGAGTCTACAAGAGTCCATGCTGAACTCAAAGACCCTCCTCTCCAAACCGATGCATCCTCAACTTCAGTTCATTCCTTCGGTTCACCACCTAAGAGCTTCTGTAGGGACAATGAGAGAGCTGGCATCCTCAGACAGGCTGGTGAGTTTCTTTTTGTGGTTTCCCAAGGTGCATGAAGATTAAGCCTCTGGCCTATTTAGTTGCAATTATGACGAATGTGAACAGCTACATATCCTATGTGGATGATGATTCAGGTCATACCAGGAAAAGGTCTGTGTGCTTGTCTGAGTTAAACCTTTTAGAAAGCTGCTTTGTCCAAATGTTTAACTGTGCCCGTCTGTAATTACACTGATAGCGGTTACTCAACCGAGTAAACAAAAGGTAGATTGGGTTCATAGATCTCTGTTTAAGTTATACCATGTCTTATTGAACAGACAATGGACTTTACTAAATCACTAAACCAATAAAGTCTTTATCACCTTTATTTAATGATTCATTGATTTTAATATCATTTAAAAAGAATAGCAATCAGCAGAGCAGTACAATAAGTAATCACATGTGATTATTACAGAATCATAAAAAATGTAGGTATTCCGGTTCCTTAACGCTCTGTTACAATCCAAAAATTGTACTATAACAAATAACAATACTAAACAAAAAATGGTGCTACAACAGCTTACAAGATGCATGCACATTAGCAACATTTTGTGTGCCAAAAAAGGTTCACTGTCTATTATCAATAGTATAGCAATGCATGAAACACAGCTCACACAGAAGTTGCTTTCAAACCAAGCAGCTTTCTATTCAGTCTTTTCTATTCAGCTTTCTATACTGTAAGCATGTGAATTCACGTGAAATCTGCATGGGGTACGTTGTCGCCCTCACTTGAAACACTTGAACGTGTAGTAAATTAGCTCAAAGGGCACAATATTAATAATTACTCATAACTTTTTATAATTATTAATATTTATATAGATTTACGGTTAACTGTAGCAGAATTAATTGTACAATCGACTGATCGGTTCGTCCACCAAACTGATAGTAGGCTACAATCTTTTATCAATTCAAAGTAAGATTATTCTCCTGGCCAAGAAGGATTCTCACGGTTAATACTAAACAGCACAAGAGCATGTAACGAAATCAAACGTTTAAGTGACCTTGATTTGTGAGCAGCAAACACAGAGACAATCAATACAAGAGTGTATATGAAAAAGTTTAATAAATGGGACTAGGTGTAACACAGCTAAACTAAGCATTAGGGCTGTCAAAAAAAAATTTGAATTTCGAATATTCGTCAAATTTAAAATAATTTATAGTTTTTAAAGCAACTTAATTATAATTGGTTTATAAACATTATGCACTTTTTTTCACAGATAGTCATGTTATAATATGCTCGATGCGCCCTCTTGTGGCATCAGGAGAAAAGCCAAAAGCTTTTCTTTACCCTAACTGAAATTATGCATTTTAAATTCCAATATAATTCGAATTTTGATCATATTTAAGCACAAAATTCGAATTTAGTTTTTCAGCCATTTTGACAGCCCTACTAAGCATATATGTAGGATTACAAAAAGGTAAAAATGAGTAACAGAGAGAGAGAGAGAGAGAGAGAGAGAGAATGGCAAGCTTTACACATTCCCAACCCTAGTTAACAAAGGGGTTAAAATTATAGTGCATCTAACAGTTACTAGAAAGATTACTTGCATTGGTTTTGATGCGGAATGGGTGTCTGAAAAATTAGGCAAGGCCAGGGACGCGTGAAATAGGGGTGCTGAGGGGGCTGCAGCACCCCCTGTTTTCAAATGGTTGCAAATGCAACGCCAAGTTTGTTCATTTAAATTTATTCAGTTTTAGCATTTAATAATTTATTTGTAATGATCTCTGACATGTAAATTGTAAGTGGGCTATAATAAACCCATGTTTATCTTTATAAACATGATTAATTTTACTTGTGATGTTTTCTATATGGGATGATTAGCCTAATCCTCATGAACACGTGACTCTAGCAAACAAAGTTAGTTTGTGAGTAAAGTGCCAAAAAGGTCAGAAGGCATGTGTCGCAAGGAGAGGACTCTCTGCAGAACATTTGGGTAGGGGTCTTTTAATGATCCCTCAGTCACACCCATCTTTGGTGGAATGGCCAATACAAGGTGTGAATTTTGAGTGGGAGAAATTTTCTTTGTCTCCATTTACAGTCCATTTGCATGTTTATTGCTAGTCTGGAGAATTGGTGCAGTTTTACCCAAAGTATATTAAAAATAGTATGATGCATTTCATAGTCACATAGTGTACACCATTGTTTAGGAAATAAAGAGCAGATCATTTGATACCAAGAAAGATACGGCTAGAAGATATTAAAGCAGAGATACATACTGTATAGACCTGGATATAAGCATTTAGGCTAGAGTTGAACTAATACCAATAAAGAGTTGTAACTAGGCTAATATAATAGGGGAACATACCAAAGACACATGCATGTACCATATACATTTTATAACAGCTTAATCATGGCCAAAATAAAGGAAATGTCTCTATGTGTGTGCGTTATGTGTATTGTAAGTGTGGGGGTAATTCACTGGGACAAATAGGCATTTGGTGCCTGGTGCTGAGTGTGATCGTCTTCTCATTGGAATGTGTTTGAAGTCAGATGGGTAGATCAGAGTACTGTTCTGTTTAGCATCTTCTGGATGGTGGGGGGAGACCCTTGGAAATTTAGCACCCATATAAACGTAGACTGTGGGGTCAGGTCTGTAATTTCTATGCAGATGTCAAAAGGCTAAAAGGATCTCTGAAACATAAAGCCCAAACGATCATCGGTGATCTTATGCAGACAGTACAAACGTGCCCATGAAATTTCACAGAGCAATGGTAAATATGGCCGCACATTTAGTAGCAAGTAAACAAGAGCACACCTATTCACTGAATTAAGTCATACCTGATTTTGCATTTACACATTTAACCCATGTTGATTAGATCACCTCCATCCTGGCAAATTTGTGGTTTGGGGCGAAATAAGATGAATGATATTTTGATAAATAAATATTCTTCTGCATTTTCAGAACCTGCTCAGCCCTCATCATCAGCCAGCAAATCCACTAAGATTGTACCTTCACCAGCTAAAGAAGATGCAGACTTGCCTCCAGAAGAGACAACAGCGGTATACTCTCAGGAGAGCGCACCAACATCTACAGCTTCAGAGGTGTCCTGGATGGAGATGGCCAGAGAGAAGACCAGAAGTCTCCAACAGCTCTTTACCAGTAGGCTACCTGAGTTTCCTAGCTTGCAATCACGACCAACAACCTTAACCACAACACAACCACAAAGCCAAACGTCCACTTTACAAGCCAATCCAAGAATCACACAGACCATTTCAAGCCAGCCGACGACTACACAACCTCTTTTGAGACCTCCAGAAACAAAACCATTGCCATCTGCACAGCATTCTGGAAGATCAACACAATCTACCACTCAGATGATGCAAACTCAGACTAAAACAACAACAAGCCAGCCTTCGGCAAATTCAACTCAGACTACCACTAGTCAATCTCAAATTGACAGTGCCAGAGAAGTCCAGTTTCAGTCCAAGTCTCAAATTTGTAATTCGACAACAAAACCAACCCAGTCTACAGTTACATGCACATCCACCACACAAACCACCACTGTATACACAGCAAAACAGCCATCACAAGCGTTGGCACCACAGACACCACCCATCCAGCCATCATCACCACTGCGAGCAGCATCACAGACCCCCACACAAGCTATACTGCGTCCCACACCACCCCCAGGTTACCCACATCTATCGTCAAGCCCAAAGTTAACGTCCCACCTAGTGTCCCAACAGTCTGCCAATACTGTCTCAAAGGATCAGCCTCAGAATGAGGAGAGAGAGCCCACTGTATTCTCAGGGAAAGCTGACAGGGCGTCTGCGTCTCAGGGGAAGGGGACTAGGCCTGAAGATGGCAGACCAGTGTGGGCAGCAGGATCAGGAAACAAGACCTCGCTCTTACAGCGCTGGGAGAACCAAACAACTGCGGCAACCAAGGTATTATTTTTCCTGTAATCTCTAAACACACTCAGTTTATTCAGTTATAAATAAACCAGAGAGAGGACACTTACTTAGGCCTCAGAAAAAAGAGTGTGATTGTTTCGCACTAGTCAAGATTCCATTCATGTTTTACAAAAAAATGTTTAGCGCATCAAAATGTTGAAATGCTAATTATCAATCAAATTTCGCAAGATTGTCTATAATCTTTTTTTTATTTTTTGTTCAACTGTAGCGCACAAATTCTGTTTTTTTTTATGTTTTATACGTCATTAAAAACTAGTTTGGAAGCACATTTTTGTCAAGAAAAACGACTTTAGCGTAAATACATGTGGGGGTCACATGACAGACTTAAAAATGCGTCCACGTCCGTATTATAACATATAACATTTTTTCTTTTGTTATGCCTTTAAATTCAATTAATACCACTTCTGTCACTTGGATGTTGGTGAAAAGTTAACACAAATAACAAATGCTAACTCTGATGCTGGTAGCTAGCATACAAAATTTTTGGTTTGCTGTGAAATCTGGAAAAATTGTAATACTAGTTAGAGACTTTATCCAACTGAAATTTGGATTTGTAAAATATATTATAAATGTTATTTCAAAATACTGAACTTGTTTCAGGTAAAAACGGCTCAGTAATATTATATACAGTACACTGCCATGAAAACAGTTGTGCTGCTTATTTTTGTAGAAACCATGATACATTTTTTTTTCAGGATTCTTTGATGATTGGAAAGTTCAAAAGAACAGCATTTATTTAAAATAGAAATGTTACATTATAAATGTTTTTACTGTCACTTTTTATCAATATAATGCATCCTTGCTTAATAAAAGTGTTCATTTTCTCCCCCCCAAAAAATTAATGACCCCAAACTTTTGAACGGTATAGTTAGATAGGGCAGTTAATATCATAATACAGTCAAAAATCAAAACTCACAAAATAAGAAATTCATAATCCATAGAGATCTAAAGACTTTGATCATTGCCATAGGAGCAAAAAACAAGAATTTTTGAAAAAATGTTTCTTCTAAAGGATGAGTGAAAAAAAAAATACCACATGGTGTCACTAGAGTTCAAACTGTGCTTATTTTGAACCAAAAAATTGGCTTATCCCTTGGACATTTGTAAGCCACATGGACGTTTGAGTTTTAATTATTAATATGAATTATACATTTATAATTTAAAATACAGGACTCTTTATGGAGGGGACAAGAGTACTATTTGCTAATAATATCCAGTACAGTATGTTCTGTTTGTGGTGTTTTGCTTTGTGAATTTTTTTCAGATTTCCTTTTTACTGATTTCGATAGACAGGTGAGCAGAAATCCACAGCAGACTCCCAAACCACATCTCAATCTACAGTTCCTCTCAGACCGATCTCAAAGGTCTCAGGCACAGGATTCGACTCAGGTTTGTCAATGCGTAAGTGGGTGAAACAATGAGTTTTACGTGACAGCTACCTTTGAAGTATATGCTCATATCTGGTGTCAATATTTCTAGAAGCATCAGTCTCTTCTGTTCCCACGATGTCAGCAGACAGAGAGAATAAATGGCAGCAGAAATCAGTGCCACCTTCATCATCATCTCCTCTGCAGTCTGTCCGTGACAGTGCCCAACCATCCTGGATGGAGCTGGCCAAGAGGAAATCCCTGGCATGGAGTGATAAGACTATGGACTAAAAAAACATTTATATGCACATGGAGGAAGAATTTACAAGTGCAAGAAAGAACTATTAAGGGGTTGGATGCTGAGGTTGGAGGATCTGAGGGCATTTTCATGCTACCGGTTCCTAAGTTGCATCCAAGCAATTGTACTTGAGTCAGAGGTTTGCTCCATGTGAACTTCAGTAGACTTTGAAGTTGATGTTAAAACAGTGTGTTCTGGAAGTGAACCACTATTGCTTGTGTATATTATTGAAGGAAAGTTGCACATTCATTTGTCAGTAAACCTCCTAATAGTCTCCATGTGAAGTATGAATGTATGCACATGAGATAAGTACCAACGAAACAAAAAGGAGAAGTTAATATTGTGAGCTTTAAAGTCATGTTCTCTTGCAACTCTGGCTAACAGCTGCTGGTAATGTATTTTGTAAATGCACCACAGTGCAGCACAATAGAAAACACTGAGAAAGTAGATCAGAGGTGGAAGGGGAGGGAAACAAATTCAGGTTCAGACTCAATCAAAAGCACCCTGAGTGAGATCTCAGGAACAGAAACATATGGTACCGTATGTTTTACCCACTCACGAGTGTAGACACACAACAACAATATACAGTAATTGTCTCCCATGTAATATGTTGCTCAATGTTTCTCAGGTTTAACACATTGTATCATTGTTTTCTAGTGAAAATAATTCATTTGATTGTTTCCTTTCCAATTACAGATTTTATTTATTTCCATGAATTCCATCCGAGAATTTGTATGTATTGTCACATTGTATCATCTGTTGATTTTCTGACACCTATTAAGTTTGAAGACTATTATTTTATGTTAAATTATGTGACTGTAAGAATATTTCAAATTACCTTGAGATTGCTTTTGAAAATACCGACTTCCTTGGCCAATAAATTCATCTTACTGAATCTGAGACGTGATATGTTATTTATTGTTATTTAAAAAAAAAAAAAATATCAGTAACACAACAACAAGTATTGTTTAAAAACGAAAAATGAATATGACATATACTTTACACAGTGTAAAAAGCTTTAGAATCTTTTTCAGTGTAATTTTGCTATATATATGTATATATACACACACACACATATATATATATATATATATCAAATTACTATATTTGGAATGGCAAATTACCAAACTAAGGATATGGTATGTAATTATTTATTTATTTTTGGATTGACTGAACACAATAAAATATAACTGATATTTTAAACATCTTTTTTTTTATTCTATTCTTTTGGTGTTCCCATTTTTTTCTCTCTTTTTTTTAAAAATGCCAAATTACCACCAGAATTCTACATTTGGAATGGCAAATCATCAAATTATGGATACCATGGTAATTTTCGTATTGACTGAACACAACAATAAAAAAAAAAAGATTTAATAAAAACTTTTTTCTATTTTATTTACTGTATTTTTTTAGTGTTATGGATTAAAAAATATATATTTTATGTCAAATTACCTTCATAATACATTTGGAATGACAAATTATGGATACAAAGGTAATTTTTGGTAATGACCGAATACAATCAATGCAAAATTTCCCCTTTTTTTATTCTACATTTATTTAATTGTGTTATCAACATTGAGTTTTATGCCTATTTAGAGTAAACTGCTGTTCAAAAGTATATTATTTTAAAGTATATTAAAATAGAAAACTATTATTTTAAATGGTAATAATATTTCACATTATTACTGTTTTTTTCTGATCAAATAAATGCAGCTATGATGAGCAGAAGAGACTTCTTTAAACCACATTAAAAATCTTACTGATCCTACACTTCTGAACGGCAGTGAATATTTTACTGATAAATTTCCTTCATAAGAACACTATTGGAATATCAAATTACCCCAGTATTTTGGTGAAAACGATGGTTACAGTGGGATGAATAAAACAGCCCAAGTAACAGTAGAGATGAAGGTCAACCTGCTGCGGTATTCAGGCGGTCCAGGTGGTGTCGCTGTTTCAGACGCAACAAAGTTTCTGGTCACTGTCATGTAACGCCATATCCATAGTTGCGAAATAAACATGCAGTTTAAAGAGACGCAGCGCCTGTGAATCTGAACGCTATGCTGCTGCTTCATCTCGTCACTGCATTAGCGACACTGCTGTGTGTCGGTGAGAGTTACACCATCAGGAGCTCGGTCTCGTGGGCTGTCACCAGTGATGTGGTGGAGGAAGAGCTGGACACGCTCTCGGACGAGGCGCCCGCTGTGCTCGTCGATAATATCGGCATTTGGAAACAAGCCTATCCGTCCTCCGTGTACCGGGACGCTTCAGAGAAGAAACCCGACCAGATATCGAAAAGCGAGGATGTGTCATCCGCGTCGCGTGTGTTTTCGTACCGGATGGAGGAGGTGAAGGTGCCGTCCAGCATCCCTACACCTCCACCGCACGAGGAGGCGGCGAGAGTAGCGCGATATATGGCGCATTATAGCGACTGGGGTCACCTGGCAACCATCTCCACACAGGAGCAGGTGATGCTTCGTTTACTAGGTTGGATTTAATCTACCTTCCTGCAAAGTTCACTGGCAGCTTTGATCTATTCTTTTCAGTTATCTATAAAATAAACGGTGGAGTCAGTGGTACTCAACAAGGGGCCCACCAGGGGGCCTCAGCAAACTTTTAAGAACCTCAAGATTACTTAAATGATTTAAAATAAGACAAAAAAGCATTAAAATCAGTCAAGATATTTATTTTAATTGGCCTTTTTAACAACTGTTATTTGTCTTTGAAGATCCAGCAAACTTTTAAGAACCTCAAGATTACTTAAATGATTTAAAATAAGACAAAAAAGCATTAAAAATCAGTCAAGATATTTATTTTAATTGGCCTTTTTAACAACTGTTATTTGTCTTTGAAGATCCAGTGGCTGGCTGCATAAACTGCTTAGACAAAAGTTTGTCATTTCATTTTGGTCTGCAAGACTAGTCGTAACTTTTTAAAGTCAGTTATGTAGAAATGTATATTGGTCTAAATTGAATTCGAAAAGTAAGACTTATTACCACTTGGTTAACTGCTAGTTAGTCAAACTAGTTCTTAACATAGTGATTATGTTTATGTAACTGGCCCCAGGTTCTTGCTGTCTTGGAAAACCTGGATATATGAGGTAGCCTAATTTTAATAGTGATTACTAGGAAAAGTAATGTAAATTAATAAATCTCAAAACCATTGGCTTTTTTTTTTTTATAATGAATGTACATTTTTTTTTATAGTTACGCTAAACTCTGAAATACTTTATCAGGTAGATATTGTGAATAAAAATTCTTTGAAAAAATCCTTATCCAGTAATTCACATATGACTGGAAAAAGTCATGGGATTATTGGTGTGGACAAAAGGTTGAGAACCACTGTATTAATAAGTGTCTTAAGTCTTAATGACATTCAGCCAGTCATTATTGCTAATCAAGTTCATAGATAACTACATTGAGCTGGTCTCTGCATCTGTCCCTCAAATGTACATACAAACACACGTACATTTATTTATATATATATATATATACACACACACACATATTTACGCTTATATACATTGGCTATTTGCACTTCTGGTTAGATGCTAACTGCATTTCATTGGCCCTGTACTTACTCTCTACAATGACAATAAAGTTGAATTTAATCTAATCTAAATATATATATATTTTTAAAGGCACATATGATATGTCTTTAATTTAGGCTGTTTTCTTTCCCCATTACCTCTTTAGATTAAAGGACTTCCATTCGGAAACATTTTCTCTGTAAGCGACGGTCCAGCTGACAACAGCACTGGCATTCCTTATTTTTATGTGACACCGATGGACAACACCGTAACAGATCTTCGCAGCTTCCCTTTTGCCTCCTTAACAATTTCCGAGGCAGAGGGAGATTTCTGCAGGTGTGTTCACTTACTTCAAAACTCTGAAATAACTGGAGTGAGAAGCCTTTACATTTAAATCACGTTTACATATCAAAACAAAAAGTATCTTTGACAGAGATCATTGTATAATGATCATCTAAAGCATCCTCTGGCTATGCTTTCCTGTGACAGGAACCAGGTTTATGACCCTGAGGACCCCAGGTGTGCTAGACTCACTTTAACTGGTAAAATGGTGGAGGTGGGACCAGAGGAGCTTGACTTCGCCAAAGAGTCTATGTTCTCCAGGTGATTATGCAAAATTATAAATCATACACACATTTTCATTTTCATTTCAGTGACCTCAGCTAAACACACTTCATACGTTATAGGTTGAACATAAGGTCTGTGTTCATTTGTGTCTGTTGGAAAAGTATAATTAGTGATGTTTGCCAATTTTTGCTTAATATCTTGATTATTTTCTACGCTGTTCTCATTGATATACTACATAATATAGCTGTTTTTTGTATCTGATGCAACTGAAATGTGCACCTACTTATTTTATAGATGAAATGCATTGCTAATAGACAAACAGTCTAGTCTGATTCACCTTGCAGCTGCATTAGAATAAATTAATTATTTTTTATTTCACCTCTTAAAAAAAAAAAAAAAAAAATGGTGCAAAGCTGTCTCTGGTTCAAAAACTAAAAGGTACATCCTTGTACCATATTTACCCCATATTAGTACCATAAAGGTACAAATTAGTACTTTAAAAGTACTAGTATTAGTAGTGCCCCAGTGATAGTTTTATACCTTTTTACTGAGAGAATTGGGTAAGCAGTGTGTTTTGCAAATAATGTGTTAATTTTGGTGTGTGCTTTGTTTAGGCATCCTGTCATGAAGAAGTGGCCCCCTGGACATAATTGGTTTTTCATGAAGCTGGTTTTGCAGCAGGTTTGGCTGCAGGACTGGGTTGGAGGAGTCTCTGTCATTCCACTTGAGGAGTATTTCAAAGCAACACCTTTCTGAGAAAAAGAGCAACATTCTATAATGAAAACGGTACAAGCAGAATTGAACTGATTGTACAGAAGGTGGTTATGTTTTTGTTACTTTCAACTAGTGGTTTTTGCCCTGGCCATGATGCCGGTTCAGTGCCTCTGAACATATTCCTGCGGATTTATTGAATGTATAAATGATGTTCAAGGAAGCCTAACATTATCTATAGAACAATTTCACAGTTACTTAAGGTTGAAGACCTTTATCACAAATAGACTATGTAGACACTGTATTGAAAGGAAAGCTATTCATTCATTATAAATAAACAAATCACTCAAACTAAATAAATCTAGCATGGGCCTTTATGAAGAAAAGTCTTTTCTCTACTAAATACCTTAGTACACTAAGAAAAGGTATATACTAAATAGTTTTTGTAAAGGTATATACTAAGTAGAGTTTTTGCCTGTTTTCTCTGAAACCCACTTTACTGTATATCCTTGTATGTCTGACATTTCATTAACAGCCAAAATGTGGAATACAAGTTATGTGTGTGTGTGCAAAAGAGAGAGTTTTTCATTGTGTATGTATGGCATCTAATGCTTTTCAAGTTCAGTTTCAGGTCTGCATTTACTTCTCAAGGACAGTGACTTGGTACAGTACAGGACCTTGTATGTTACACTACCTAACACAATTACAATGTAATTGACACCTTAATGAAATATCTCAAACATCTGTTTGTGCCTTGCATTACCTCTTCACAATGATATTCATGTGCTGTACAAATAAAATAAGAAATATGTAAAAAAAATACATATTGTGTGGAAAGAGTAGTCATTGCTGTTTTGTGGTTGACGTTTTAGTCTTTTAATGTAAATGAAGAACAAATAACATAGATTACAAAAAGGACTGATTGGAGTAATATGATTATGTAATACAGAATTAAGCTTAAAATAGAATTGTCAAGAGACTTCAGCAAAAGTGTCTTATGTAACGCAATATCTGGCTTAAGTAAAATTAAAAATGGTCTGTGCAGGTTATAATTAATCATCTCCATTTGAATGATTTCAGCTTTTATCTTCAGCTATACGTGTTCTTGTAAACCAAACTTTTCTGTGAGATGTACAACAGGCAAAAGGAAGCTTTCAATGTCAGTCAACTGAGTAAAAATAATCACATAGGCATCTCAAAGTAGTACTGCTTGACTGTATGACTGAAATGAGACCGTGTTGAAATACAAGAGTCGAGCATATAAATAAAAATAGATTGGGGGAAAGAGCTCAGTTTATGGAGAGGACTTCAAATCCAGATGATTATAACAAATGACGATTAGACATAATAATGAGAGGCAAAAACCAGGAAAGACAAAAGCAATTTGTACGGGTCGCAGTAATACCACTTTAATGGCACTACATTAAAATAACAGGATTTGGGGAAATTCAAAGAAAAGATATGACAGATGCTTGCATACAATAAGGGTTCAGTCCCACAAGCTATCAGTGACCGTGAAGGTCAGAAAAGCCAATCAATTATTCATTAAATGTGCACTCCCTCTGGCGCCTGCATTCAGACAGCATGAATGGCATACGTGCACATCTAAATACATCTAATTATGGCAAACATCTCATTTTTTCCCCCCAAATTAGTATAATTATATGAGTAGTAGAAGTACTCTCAGGAAAATGGAAAGCTTTTACATTAACTGTACTGGGGAAAAATAAGACATTGATGTGATAGGAAAACCTGTAGGTAACACTTTACTTGAAGGGGTGTGCATAAGACTGACATGACACCTTCATAATCATGACATGACACATGTCATGAATATGAAGGAGGTTTTATGCATGTTTATGACAACTGTCATTAAGTGTCATTCGCTCAGTTATGTCATTTTTAATGCAAATATGACATTATTTGACCTAACCCTAACCTAACCCTACCTCTACCTTACCCCCAACCATAGCCCATAACAAAGACATCTCAAACAATGTCATATTTGCATAAAAAATTACATAACTGAGCGAATGACACTTAATGACAGTTGTCATAAACATGCATAAAAAACCTTCATATTCATGACATGTGTCATGTCATGATTATGAAGGTGTCATGTCAGTCTTATGCACACCCCTTCAAGTAAAGTGTAACCAAACCTTTTTAGTAAAAATAAAAATCTATATCCAGCCTTTGTTAAAGTTTGAGTGAGCTGTGTTATCAGTGCAAAGGATTTATTGTTTCATGTATTTGTATTATGCATAATTATGCATAAAAGAGAAATGTACATTCACACTAAATATATTGTTATATTGTTCTAATAGCCTTTTTCTTTTACATTTCTACAATAAATAAATAAATAAATAAAGTGAATTTAAAATAATTGAATGACTGACTACTGACTGATACAACATATTCAATTCAATTCAATTCAAGTTTATTTGTACAGCGCTTCTCACGATACAAATCATTGCTAAGCAACTTTACAGCAAATTAAGTTTCTACAATATTTAGTGGTAGCTCATCAGTGGTGACTGTCAGTTAATGTACATATGGCAGAAATGTACGGAAAAATCAATTAAAGACGTAATCAAACAGACGATGAACACTATTAAATGATCATTAGGCCTCATGTTGTTCCAAACTTGTATGATTTTCTTTCTTTCTTCTGTGGAACACAAATGATGTGTCTTTAATCTAGATTTAAACAGAGAGAGTTTTGACTAACATATGTTAGTCAAACTGTACACACTATACACAAACTATACTTTCATTTACAATATTTTCATATTCATATTCAAAAACCTTCTTATTCCAAATAAAGTATTTCCTATAAAGAAAAATATGTAGCCTACAGTACATGTCAGTCTCCATGCAGTGAAAGCTTGTTAATGAATACTTGCACATTGAACTGATACTTTGACAATAGTATTTCAGCAGGAATTTATTTCCACCCAATAATTTAAACAGAATTGTTGCAAAAAATATCTTTATCTTTTAAAAGTGCTGAGGGGGTGTGCAATGGGCTCAGGCCGCCGTGTGGCGGCAGACAGGAGCTGCGCGCAGACTCCAGCCAATCAACGTCAGTGATGGGCGGGGTCTGATGACTCCAGCCAATCATAGTTCTCGAGTGGGCGATCGTTGCTTTCTGTGGGTGTGGTCTTCAACAAAGCTTGATTGAGAGATCACATCACCGCTGACGATTCTGGCAGGACGGTGCGTCTAAATTGCTATTTTAATGAACATCACAAAACGTGTTTTTGCTCGTTTTTTCACTGGATATTTTTTATGAGATCGAGCCGCGTCGGTTCGCTGCTCAATAACAGGCCGAAAGGTAAGAAATGTTGAACTTGGGGTTGTTGCTCATGCCTGTCTGACATATTTTGGGGTCCTCCGACAGGTAGTCAACTCTGTGTATTTTACAGCCTAGGCTGTTTTTTGACCTTTCAATGTTTTATTTTACCCAATCACCCCTGCCCCTAAATTAGTTATCCTCCGCAGTATTTCTGTGTCTCTCAGTGATTAATTTCCTTACAAATAAGGTTGCATACATATTTAATCTGCTATCTGTTTAACTTGTAGTCAGTGCGGTCCGGAAAAAAAGAGAGAAACCAAGACAGTATGTTTTCATGTCGATCTCTGTGCCTTTCTGTATTTAAAAAAAAATGTATTCATGATCCCTTCCAGTAACGGCAGGCATGAGGATTGCACATCTTTCTCTGGAAATGCATCAGTTCCGCCGGGCTGCCTCGTGACCCCAGCAGCGACCGAGAGGAAGAGCAGGAGGAGGACCGCCGTGCAGACTGTCGATGATCCGGGCCCCAGTCACCTCCTGTCCGCTCCCCTGAAGCGTTTATGCACGCCTGGATCAGGAGGACCAGAGGCAGATGCACGGGGAGGCGCTGAAATGAGATGAGGCTCAGACATGGAACTGTTGCCACTGCGATCATTTTCTTCACGTCGTTTCTCAGTCTGTCCTGGTACACGGCTTGGCAAAATGGCAAAGGTGAGTTCATCTCTGAGATTAATTCAGTCATGCTATCACACAAGCGAGAAGCTGATGCTCTTTATATTTAGTACTACAGCACAATTATGAGTGCAGGTTTTATGCAACAGTTCAATAAACAAGTTATTGATATCGAGTAATTTAAGACTAAATTTGGCCTTTTAGTTTGTTTATTTTTTATGTAAAAAAAAAGTTCTAAAGGAAACCAGCAACTTTTACATTTCATCAAGCATCACCAAGTATAAAATCTGGTCTGGAGCAGTGTGTATATGTGGAATGGATCCGCAGAGATTAGCCCACCACCAACTCAAATTGTTCTATAATCACTCCGCTCCATTACAGGGTTTTTTGTTTGACACTCTAGTGCGAGAAACCCACTTCAAGTGGGCATTGAGTACAATTAAACACTTGCTGCGTCTGAAATAAAGATGCTTTGCAACTGTGAAAGAAGTGCAGTTTATATAGTATCAATGCGAGTAGTATGGATGAAATCCGGATGCACTACATTCGTCGTGTTGTCATTGTTGTGTCGCTTTCTCGCAATTCACATTTCCCCTGGTCTCACGGGATGGTAGAAGTGTCCATTGGATGCACACATCGTAATCTTGTCTGCAAGTTGTAGGTCATCTGGGTACTTTAATTTCGCCTAGTGATTCTTCTCTAGTAGTGATTCTAGAAGTAGTGATTCTACTTCTCTGAAACTCCATGAACATTCATGGAGTGATGCAAATAACCATGAAACGCCTCAGTGCTTAATCCTAAACATTAACAAACTTGTATAAGGACCAGAACTGTTGTATAATGAATTAATATGCAAGTTCCTTCAAACAGATTGACATTTTTTGTTTAATTTCTTTTTTTGATGGCACTGGTGGAGTGTGCAAATTTTATCAAAGCAAGCAATTGTAGTAACTATGGTATTTTGGCCTAAACTATCGAATAACTGTGGTAATATTTTGCAGGGTGCTTGATGGTTTAATAACTGGGTTGGTGAACTGAAGGTTGTAGATAGACCACAAGGGGTGATCAATGAACTTATACTGGGCACCGCAGGTTGTGGAACACATCCAGTTGGCCGCACTAGATGACATTAACCTTAAAGGAACTTCATATTTTCTGCCAAGAAAGTATCTAAAGGGAGCTCTGGAGAAGTCTTAATGTTGGGAATTTCAGTTTAGGATAGCACCAAACCACCCTAGTTGGAAATCAATGGGCTCTGGAGCACATTGTGACAGCTCATTGCTCTATGGTCGATCATTCTCTAGTTAAATCCATCCGTGTATTGATTAGAGTTGTATAAAGCAGAATGTACAATTCGGTATGCTTGTTGATGATGATGTTTGCCAAACTCAGATCCTTGCTCCTGTCTCATGCAAGTTTTCTCCTTGAGATTTAGCCAAATGTAGAGGTCAATAAATTTGCATTCACCCTCATTTGCATTCCCAACGCAAACAAATGGAAAAGCATTTGTAATGGCAATGAGATGTCAGATATTTGAGATATTTCATTCCATTTTCATGCAAGTTAGGGGTGGAGTGAATTTTTTTTGCAAAATCTGTTTGTTTGTTTGATTTTGTTGAATTTAATTCTTTAACAATTTTGCAAGTCTATAAGTGTCTCTATTTTCATTACCATTATATTAAGCGCTACACATTCACATTATGCAGACATTTACTGTACATATAGCTACATATACATTTCTTTACATCTGTATAAAGTTATATAGATTTTTGACTCAAGGCAGTGTAATAGACCACAGTCCTGGAGAGGAATCTGAAAAATTCCCTCTCCCCCAAAAAACTTGTTTTATAACATCATATTCAACCTGTCTTTGAGAAACTGTTAATCCCAGATCTTGTTAAGGTTAATTCTATTGAAGATTATGTTTATGGCTTGAAGATACAAAGAGACACTTGTGTATCAGCTCATTGGACAGATCTGAGAAATTTAAGCTAAATCAAAAAAAATGTGATGCACAACAACATTAGCAGATGAATATCATAGTCAAACAGGAGAATCTTTGAGAGAAAGGTCACTGTATTCATTGACATGAAACCCTCCCACATATGCACACACCTCGGAAGCCTGGTCATCGAGGGTTTATAGTGACTCATTATTCCATAGTTTGATGCCACTCAGATCTGAATAATTCTCGCGTTGACTTGCTGCTCTGTTGCCTTTTCTCTGTCAGACCTGATCTGCATGATATTGAGTGGTTTTAGTATAGGGAAACAAATTTATAATGTTTTAAATTGATTATTTATAATGGTATACATTATTATTATTGTCCTCTAAGGTTCAACGTTCAGCCTGATTAGAAGTTGTTGTGGGTGTGTTCTTGGTGTTTGTGGCCTAGCTGAGCAAGCATTGCTTATTTTCAGCTCCCTGTCTTAGTAGCTGATTTGCACACGTGTACAGCGAATGTTTTCTGAAAGATCAAGCTAAACAGGGCTGTGCTGATTGAGTCATATATCAATATAAAACATTTCTACTTTTTATAAAATATCCATTTCAGAAGAAATTCTTTATACTTTAGATCCTTTTATTACTTTATTTGTGTGTAATCAAAAATAAGTACAAAAACTCACAGCATTTCTTAGTGTGATCAATAGAGCTCGACCGATAGGGTTTTTTTGGGGGCCGATACCGATAATAAAAAAAAGGCTGATATTGATATATCGGCTGCACTGAACAGTAAAGAAGTTTATTCAACTTTATTTCAATTCAGTTCCATTCAGCTTTATTCCGTTGAAGTTTATTTCACTTCTGAAGATTCATTCAGCTGTCTGCGACAGGCTCATATCGGCCGATAAAATCGGCAAAACAATATATCGGTCGGGCTCTAGTGATCAAAACCACTTCTATGAGGCACTGTACTAAAGATTAAAAAAAGTTATATTGGTAACACTTTCTATGAAGCCCATATTTATAACACATTATAAGGGTATTCTTAAGGCATTATAATGAATGCATAATGCATTATAAAATACCTTATAATATGTTATATCATCTTATAAATAATCATAACAACAATTATAATACATTATAATGCCTACGCATTTGTGGTTATAAGTTTTAAGATTATGATTATTTATAATACACAATGAACACCATATAAAATCTATTTTTACATTTATAATGGACTATATATCTTGACATTGTTTATTTAAGATCTGCACAGTATCTTACTACATCTTGTAAGTGGTTAGGTGTGGAGTGTTATTTGAGTGTTCCATGTGAGGCTAATATTAATTTTGATGTGAGCTAGTTAATAATTTCAACTGAAAAAAAAATGCAATGTTTATATGTTAGGTTGCATTTTATGTTGATGGTCCCACTAGTCTATTGACTATAAGCAACTTTGCAACTACATGTCAACTAACTCTCATTAGAGTATTAGTAGGCTTAGGTTAAGATAATACATTATAACTATGAGAAATATAATCCATTGTAACTTAAGTGCAACATGTTCACTGTGTTATAAATCATCCTACTCTTAAAAGCTATAACCACAAATAAGTAAATATTGTAAAACATTAAAACTGTTCTTATGAATATTCATAAGTTGATATAACATATTATAAGGGTTTTTATAATGCATTCATTATAATGCCTTAAGAACACCCTTATAATGTATTATAAATATGGGCTTCATAGAAAGTGTTACCGTAATATTTTTATTAGAAAGTAATATTTTTATTTAGCAAGGATGCATTAAATTGATAAAAATTATAATGGTTTTCACAAAAATATATCGCAACACAACTGTTTTCAACATTGATAATAAGAAATGCTTCTTGCAGCAAATGAGAGTGATTTCTGAAGGATCATGTGACACTGAAGACTGGAGTAATGATGCTGAAAATTCAGCTTTACCATCATAGGAATAAATTACATTTTAAAATCTATCGAAAGAGAAAACAGTTCTTTTAAATTGTAATAATGTTTAAAAAATGGCAAATTTTACTGTTTTTTTTTTTATTAGCAGTATTTCTATGTACCAGCTGTTGTACTTCACTGTGGCATGGTTAAAGATCTGGCATCTTAACTGAAATGTTATATATTCAGAGCCCATAAGGGCTGATCCGTGACTCTTTGTTATGCCCTTAATCAAGGCACTTAACCCTAGGTTGTTCAAGGGGTCACTTTAATATGTTCGCTGAAAGTTGCTTTGGATAAAAGGGACTACTAAATCAAATTAGTAATTAATTGGCACCTTACATCATTCTGCTGCTCTCCTGTTATAGTACCAGAGGTTAAAATGAACTGCACCATTGCCTTACTCCTATTTTCTTTTCTTCTGCTCCGCTGAGCCTACAGAGGCTTTGCATCCTCAGGGTGTGTGGAAAGCACAATAGGCCAAAAATAGCAGGCCAGGGAAGGCGTGATTAGCCTAGGAGAAATGGTGAGGGAGGCCGCAGTTTTCTAATGAAGCCACTGAGAAGAGAGACTCAACGCTCATCACAAACTTATTGCTTGTGCTTTTGTTGGGGCTGGATTGTTTTTCTTCGGGAGGAGCCCACGAGTGCCCTGTCAAGAAGAGAGCAGGAGAGCGATGGGGTTGTGTTAAGCACACTGCTGAGAGAAAAACGCAGAGATTTACAATAGAAAGCAAATGAACTCTGAGACTTTGAGAGCGAGAGTTTCACCATGCAAAGAACTTGATGAGATGATGCTCTCATTAATAACCATCATCTCATTCTGAGTGATGCACAATTTTGCCTCTAGGATCATTCCGGATCATTCCGCTGTCAGCGTTCCAGACAAGTCCTCATTGAGTCACAATTACACTCTTATCACTGTGGCATCCCCTGCCATTCTTCTTCCATATTAGGCTGGAGAACGCAGTCATTGTCGTTAATGCCTTGTACGTTTCCAGCCCTTGACATTTTTCAGTTTCACCACCTCATGCGCCGTTTCTCCGGTGCCAACGGCTGCTGTTGAGAGCTGTCACAAGAACTCCTGTGCTGTCATTCCTGGCAGGTGTTATTGGCCTCCCT